ATTATTGACTCGCACCAAGAACCGCTGTATGACTCTCATTAGCCCGTTTTGGTTATTTATATTATAAGCAAATAAGATTCAAGCTAGACTGTTATAGGCTTCGTATTCGTATTAGTTATGTTCTTATATTGACGGTCTTCAGATTTGAATAATGAAAAAATAAAAATATCACTTTTGTTTTAACATTCAATAACTTGATAAAAAAAATTATATAACGCTTATCAAAAAAGCAAAGTAAAAATTCATTTTTTCGATTGCTGTAAACCGTATTTTTATCTGATTTTCAGTGTTTTCAATGAAGATATTTATTTACTTTAGGAGATGTTCGCGAAATGATTGCTATTAACGGTAAATGTCTAGATTAGGGGACCCTCCCCCAATGACCTTGACTTTGACATGTCAGGGACATGACTCTGAGTAACCTCCAACAGGTTTTAGCCGTCGCTCGCTCTTTGTTAAAATTTATAAACAAAAAGAGGTTCAAAAATAACATACCATTTCTGCCATATATGTATGATAACAAGTACTATTTTACATCTTCCCCTGTTTAGAAACGTTAAACTTTCCACGCGAACTGACTCCACCTCCCCTTCCTCCCCCTACACGACTTCCAAACGGTTTCGACTTTCCACGCGGAGTGAGAGAACTCTCATCCCACCTTTTCCTCTGCGAAGGAGGTCGTACCTACCATGGTGGAAATATACAAGGTGAGTCGTTCCCGTAGATGCGCAGTAGCCTAAAAGTAGTGGGGAGCAGACAGCCAATCATAAATGCCCCATTTGGCATAAATCCAATATGGCTGTTATTGTTTTGGAGCATAGTGTACGTACAGTGAACATTTAAATTCCGCGCGTGCACAATGGGTCATAAGTGATTGGCTGAATACATATATGTCACACACTCTTTGCCATCATTATGCGCAATGACTCACCTTATATATTTCCACCATGGTACCTACCATGTCGTTTTATGTTGTAAAGTGTATGCGTAAATGCAGTAGGTTTCGTCCTATACTGCAGGGGGACTCCACTACTGTTAAAAATAACCTAACCTAACACATTTGTTGATATATATAAATTCATAAATAACGAACTTCTGTATGAATCAAAAATTCGCTTGGAAAGAAAAGGGCACTAGGAGTTAAGCGTAGGTAACTTTACGCAAAGCCGATATATATCTAGCAAATCTATCTATTATAAAAAATTATTAAATAATCAAGCTTACATGTTTCGACTCATTTTTGAGCCTTCTTCAGAGACAATAAAATTTACATTGTTTCGGAATAGGATAAGTTTCGCGCCACAAAGCCGAATAAAGGATCGATTGCGCCATCCATCGATTCCGTCCGTGAATCTTTCGTCGCACTCACCGCGCCGTCTTGCGAATATTATTACTACAATTTAGCCGCATATTTGGATACCGATGTCGCTGTCGTCCTGCCGATTCGTCGCGCTAATCGCGCAGCGCGATTCTCCCCACAGACACAAATCAGTACTTGCCGTGTCAAGTCGTGCTCTCAAATTCCTCGTTGAAAGCAGCAGCTTTCTTTCTACGGGTTCGCTACCGCGACTCGTTACTCTGTACTTCTTATCACGGCTACCGTCGTGTATAAGTATCGGCGTATTAACCGCAGTTAAACGTCTCTCTCGCCGTGCCACGCGAATAACACTTCGTTTACTGTGAATAAAACTTGCATACAACAAGTTAAAAGAGGAGTGCTCAGTGTTCTCAACCATCCAGTCCACCAATCCATTCCGTCATTTGAGATCTCAGTCGAGATCGAAACAGCGATTGCAAACACCACGAACATACATAAATAAATTATAATTTAAAAAATAACAAAGATAAAAAGATGTTTAATTATAATAAGCTCCCTCACAACCGAGAAATAGATTCTAAAGACAATTTCATTCTAGGAAGCACAATCAAATGCATAATAACGGAAAAAAGGAAAGAAATAAAAGAAAGTTGAAAATATAGGAAATTAATTTTCCAGGATGCTTAGAAAAATGATTATTTTCAAATTAAAATTATCAAATTGCAACTATTTCTCGGGAGTGAGGAGACTCACCATGTTCACCACGATACTGCATCGCAAACAACCTCAAAACCAGTCTTTAGAACAATATAGGCCAGTCAGTCTCAAACACAGTGAGTCACAGTAAATAGTTTGACAGTATTAGATTAAATTATCAAATCACAAAATTCAAATGACACGACTCATCACTATGCACCAGCGAAACTGACCAGACAGACGTAACAGACAACGTTATTTATATCCTGTCTATGATCGGGAAGTAGACCTTGGGAAGTCCCTTCATGTCCGTTTGTAAATTAAGTCCGTGTGCTTGTCTCCTGATGGATATCATTTCCGAAATCAGTCTTTTTCTATAGTGTGGTTCATCCAATATTCTGACGTTATCCCAACCAAATTCATAATTTTCATGCAGCCGATGCTCCATTATGACGCTGCGGGTGGACGTGCTCCATCTGATATGATTCCTATGTTCTGCATTCTTGACTTTAGTTGTCTGTACGTCTATTCCACATAACTTGCAACGCAATTCTTACAAGAAATTATCAACCTCTTTATACGATATTATTTAAAAAAGTTTAACTTTTGATAATAAATGTGTTAAAAATAGGGTAAACTTTTACAAAAGGGGACCACCTTCCGATGACCTTGACCTTGACATATGTTGTCAAGGTCATGACCCTGAGTAACCTCTGGCAGGTATTAGCCGTCGCTCGTCCTTTGTTAAAAAGTTATTAACAATCAGAGTTTTAAAAATAACGTCTTATTTCTGCTGTATACCATCTTAAACATTATTCTACACATACATTTTGACTTCCTACACTACACGAACTCCAATTCCTCCCCCCCCCCCCCCCTCCAAGAGGCGTACGACTTCTATGATTGCACTGTTGCAATTTTAAAATTAAGGTATAATATATAATACATGTATGATATTGAGTACTATTCTACACTTTTCCCTGTTCAGAAACGTTAAACTTTCCACGAGAAGTAACTTTCACCTCCTCCTCCCTGCACAGGGGCACACGATTTCTACGATTATACTGTTGCTATGATAGTACTGTCGGGGCAGACCTCTGTGACGGTGTGGGTGCGGGGGGGTGGCCGAAGGCCACCTCCTTGCACCCGCCCGTGTGTGTGTGTAAAATATCAAGTAGACTCATAATCGTTATATAACGAATGGAACACAAACACACACACACACACACACACACACACACACACACACACACACACACACACACACGGGCGGGGTGCAAGGGGGTGGCCTTCGGTCCCCCTCCCTCACTCACCCCGTCGCGGTCGGTAGAGGTCTCCCCCGACAGTACTATCATAGCAACAGTACAATCATGGAAGTCGTGTGCCCCTTAGCAGGGGATGGAGGGGGGGTGAAAGTTACTTCGCATTGAAAGTTTAACGTTTCTGAACAAGGAAAGGTGTAGAATAGTACTTAATATCATACATGTATAGCATATGTTAAAATTATGATTGTTAATAACTTTTTAACAAAGGACGAGCGACAGTTAAAACCTGTTTAGGGTTATTCAGGATCATGACCTTGACAACATATATCAAGTTCAAAGTCATTGAAGGGGGGTCCCTTCATCTACACATTTACTCTTAATTGTCACTAATATTCATTTGTTTATAACTTAATATTTAATAAAAAGCGATTATACGAAAACAAAATTATACATTAATTTTGTTAAATAAGCTAGAAAATGTTAATGATATATCGATTTATTCGTCAACGATATTGTTATAGCCCAAATGGTTATCACAAATTGTACGCGCTATGCACGTTTTCATTTTTGTATTTTCGCTCGCTTTGCTACGCTCCCTCCTTCTGAAAAGGGCGCTACCTGCGTTCCCCTTCTCCTCAGCGTTCGCTCATCAGCGTTCGTTTCTGCGTTCGTTTGCGTTCGTTCGTTTCCGTATCTGTTCGTGCGCCTTTACCGTTTCTTCTGTTTAGTTGCTTCGTTCAAGCATGCAGCAGCATGATTTTTCTTTACGCTTATTCATAATCGTTTTTAAGTTTTCGTCAAGATCACAGCACACAGTGCATTTTTGTTGTAAGCTAACCAAATATAGCAAGATCAATCAATTTACGTGTTGTTTATTTGTCAACACTGGTCCTTCGAGCATCGTTACAAGTTGCACCAAGCATAACCAATGAGCCACAAGGCGATCCAAGGAGAACTTAGTACTACACATAGTGCAAAGAGGCACAAGCCTATTCATTTGGTTCTTCGAGTATTATACATTTGCAAACATAACCAGTTATTACGTGGGCCACAAGGCCCTCTAGGAAAAAATAGCGCTACACATAGTGCAAAGGGGCACAAGCCCATACATTTGGTCCTTCGAGCCGGATAACAGGATAACAAGGAATCCGTCCCAGCGATACAGAGGGTATAACCTGAAATTCATTCAAATCTCATTCGAGCGTGCTCATAAGCCGCAAGCACAAGCATAAGTAATCTTTTAGGTAAGATTGTTTCGTTCACTCAAGGTAAGATAGCCATATTGGCTTTTCATTTCTCGAAACTTCGTTACATATACGTTCTCACATATACGTATATCTTTATATGCACACGCATGCGCTTCCTTTCACAATAAAGGGCATTATTCTCAATTCATTAACGATAACGTAAGAATCATAAGCATGGATTCGATATCATTGGCAGAGGCTAAAACTAAACGCACAGCCGCAAAGGCCTCTCTAACTCGACACAAGTCTGCCATAGAAAGCTTTGACGCGAATCATGGATCGCGCCATGACATTATTGAACGCAAAAAAAGACTATTGGAATTATGGAATCTTTTCGACGTAGTACAATCGCGAATAGAGGTACTTGAGAATGAAGAAGTGTCTGCTCAAGATTCAGATCAATTAAACGCTCAACATGAGCAACACCGAGCAAGCTTCGAATCGACATACTTTAGCTTGATCTCACGCTGTGAATCCTTACTTGAACATTTTGATCAACGTAACATTAGGCTTTCTTCGGGATCTTTTGATACGCAAGGCGCTAGTTCGTCTGTCCGCAGGGAAGCGCATGTTAAGTTACCTAAAATCGAGTTTCCAGTGTTTTCAGGTTCCTACGAGGATTGGTATGCTTACCATGATATGTTTGAACAATTAATTCACACCAATCAAAATTTATCCGAGATAGAGAAATTCCATTATTTGCGATCTTCCCTCAAGGACAAGGCCGCTGAAATAATAAAGTCAATTGAAACTACCACCGACAATTATAAGGATGCCTGGAACGCTATTAAGGAACGATTTGACAACAAACGGTGGATATTACAAAGGCACATTAAGGCCATTTTCGAAATCGCTCCAGTAACGAAAGAAAATCATGCTCAGTTACGTGAATTATTAGATACAGTTTTAAAACATTTGCGCGCTCTTAAAGCCATGAGAAGACCCACAGATACTTGGGACGATTTAATCGTTCATCTTATAATTTCGAAACTTGATACGGTTACTACCAAGGCTTGGGAAACAAGCATTCCTGATATGGAAATTCCCACACTAAAATCACTGACTGATTTTCTTTCAAAACGTTGCAGCGCGCTTGAAGCAATTTCTAGCAAATCCTTAATCAATCAATTTGCAAAATCAAAGAATTCTTCGGTTTCAAATCTCGCGACTTCTAATTTATCTTGTCTTAAATGTAAGGAAAATCATCCGCTTTACTATTGTGAAGCGTTTCTCAAATTACCAGTAGAAAGCAGAATCGCCTTCACAAAGAAAGTTCATTTTTGTCTTAATTGTTTAAGATCTCATTCTCACCAAGCTAAAAATTGCACTTCAAGTACTTGTCGCAAATGTAAAGGTCAACACAATACACTTTTACATTTGTCAAAGTCAACAGACGCTAACGAGTCGTCTAATGCGAAAACAGCTGTGACTTCCGATACAGAAATTTCTGCGAAGCCAGTCGCAACACAATGTTTATCTACTTATCAATCTCTAGGAATTATATTATCAACAGCCATTATTCATGTATTTGACTGTAATAATCACATCCATTCGTGTCGTATATTGTTAGACAGCGGATCACAAATGAATTTCATTACGCAGAGTCTTGCCGACAAATTGTACCTCAATAAAAGGCAAATAGATATATCTATTTCAGGTGTAACTAATGCTAACATTCGAGCCAATCAAGCGACAGTCGTTCACATAAAATCGCGGTTCAACAATTTTAGCGAGAGGATAGAATGCGTTGTTTTGCCAAAAATTACTCAACAATTGCCTCAAAAATTCATTTCCAAGCAGAATATAACTATACCAAATAATTTAAAGTTGGCCGATCCTGATTTTAATGTTGCCACTGACATTGATATGCTAATCGGCGCTGAGATATTTTGGAAGCTCATTTGCGCAGGTCAAATTAAACTTTCTACAAATTAACTAACACTGCAGAAAACTCTCTTGGGATGGATTTTATCTGGTCCGACATCAAGTATTCCTAGTAACTCCAGTTCTTCAATCATCAGTTGTTTAGCTGTAACAGAAGACTTAAATCATGCTCTCAGTCGTTTCTGGGAATTGGATCATTCTATATCCGCTTCAACTCTTTCTCCAGAGCACCAATCTTGCGAGAATCTATTCAAGGACACTGTCAAACGCAACAGCGATGGACGCTTCGTGGTCCAGCTACCGATCATACCTGACAAGCTATCTGAACTCGGTGAATCAAAGGAAATAGCCACTCGCCGCTTCAAATGTTTAGAGAAACGCTTTGTTACCTCTCCTAAATTACATGCAGAATACAAAGGATTTATACAAGAATACATACAACTTGGTCATATGCGTGAGGTGACTCACATTACAGATAATGACAGCCAAACGTATTACCTACCGCATCATGCAGTATACAAAGAAACTAGTACTTCTACCAAACTAAGAGTGGTTTTTGATGGTTCTTGCAAAACAACCACTGGAATCTCGTTAAATGATGCATTATTGGTAGGCCCCACTATACAAGATGATCTGCTTTCAATATTAATAAGATTTCGTATGTACAGATATGTCATGACTGCAGATGTGGCAAAGATGTACAGACAAGTTTTAATCGATCCGAATCAAACCTCTCTGCAACGCATTCTTTGGCGTGACTCTTCGGATCAACCCATTCAAACATTCGAGCTTCTGACCGTCACGTACGGTACAGCATCTGCTGCCTTCCTAGCCATTAGATCGCTCAGGAAATTAGCTGAGGATAACTCTGAGAAGTATCCCGTTGGATCCGGGACAGTTTTAAACGACTTTTATGTTGATGACTTGGTCACCGGCGCTGACAATTTACAAGATGCCTCCTCCATCAAGATTCAGACAAGGCAATTGCTTCTTGAAGGTGGTTTCGAGCTACGCAAATGGTTCTCTAATGTACCTGATCTTCAAGACGATCAACTTTCCAATCCTGAAAAGGAATTCGTACTATCTTCCGACAAGGAATGCGAAACAAGGACACTGGGTCTTGTGTGGAACTGTACCCATGATCACTTCCAATTTTCTAGTATCTCCTGTCTGCCACCTTTGGCTACGCCCACCAAAAGGCAAGTACTATCAAGAGTCGCTTTGGTTTTTGATCCTCTCGGACTTTTTGGACCTGCGACTGTCATTGCTAAAATCATTATTCAACAACTCTGGCTCCTCAAGATTGGCTGGGATGAAGCTCTTCCCTTGGATTCAACCACTAAATGGAAACGCTACGAGCGTGAGTTGCCAATTTTGAGAGACATGACTATTTCACGACGCGCTATCGCGCTAAGTGAACATATCAACTTAGAGCTCCATGGCTTCTCTGACGCCAGTGAACGAGCTTATGGCGCGTGCATCTATTTACGTGCCACTGATGCTGACGGAAACATTTCAATTAGATTGCTCTGCTCTAAAAACCGTGTAGCTCCACTTAAGAGTCTATCAATTCCGCGCTTGGAATTATGCGCAGTCCTCTTGTTGACTCAGATCACCGACAAGATTTTGAAACGTATTACTCACAAAATTACATCTATTTATCTGTGGACCGACTCCACCATAGTTTTAGCCTGGCTGCAATAATCTAGTCGTACATTGTCGACATTTGTCTCCAATCGTGTTGGCGATATCCAACAACTAACCACTATACCAGACTGGCATCATGTATCCAGTCAGGACAATCCAGCTGATCTTTTATCCAGAGGCATATCTCCGGCTGCATTGCCACATGCGCATCTTTGGTGGTCGGGGCCTTGGGCCCGCTTGGCTGAAACTTGACAAGGGGCAATGGCCTCAATTTCCATTCACTATCAACAAACGAGATATACCTGAATACAAATCTTCTGCTATCACATCAGCAACTGCTACGCTGCCATACTTTGATATTTTCGAGCGCTTCTCAAGTTTCATGAAACTTGTTCGAATCGTAGCATACATCTTTAGATTTTTCAACAAATTAAAGCAAAGAATCAAGCCTGATCAGGAGCTACAATTTGCTAACAATACAACTCTTGTCATAACTCCTGATGAAACGGACCACGCCATTAAGATTTTGTTGAAAATAGTTCAAAGACTGCAGTTCCCTAAGGAATTGG